CTCTCTCTCTCTCTCTCTCTCTCTCTCTCTCTCTCTCTCTCTCTCTCTCTCTCCCCCTCTCTCTCTCTCTCTCTCTCTCTCACACACACACACACCATTTGTGCACATGCCTTCAAAACATTCTTGACTCTAACAACTGCCTGGACAAATTCCTACACTTTTTGGTAAGATTTTGGAAGTAGTTTGCTATTGTGTCCTTCCTAGAGCTAAGAGAGAATGATTGGCCCAAAGTCACCCTGCTGGTTTTGTGCCTAAGGTGAGACTAGAACTGAGTTGTCTGGTTTCTAGTCTTGTGCTTTAATTATTACATAAAACTGGTTTTTATATAAACTGCACTACTTATTTGATAACTTAACTCTTCAGAGGAACTGGGGGAAGTGGTGGGCTACTGCCAGTTCGGACCAGTTTGGGTGAACTGGTAGTTCCAACAATCAGCTGGCTCAGCCCACCCATCCCCACTCTATCCTGTCCCATGTGTGTGTGTGTTTGTGTGTGTGTGTGTGTGTATTCTCTTTCTGGCTCATCTGATTCGCGCGGCACAACTGATTTCCGCGCCTCCGCTTTTCTACCTACCAGGGATGCCTTAGAAGGTAAGCATTTGAGCTTCAAATTGCTGTATTTTGAATGCTGCACACAAGCGAACCGATTGTTAAACTGGTTGCAGCCCACCACTGCTTTTAGGATAGAATGCTGTCACATTAGCAGAAGCAATTTGGTCAGGCAAGGCGCTTATCTTGGAACAGAACATTGCATGGACAATGCAATTATGTCATAAAGCAATTTACCACATTTCTTTAAAAACAGAAGCCAGAAAGGGGAGGGAAGCTAACATTCTGGCTGTATAAGCCTTATCTAGTTAATTAACTTTTTTTTAAAAATCAGTCAGAGAAACTAATATTTTGTACTCGTGAAATGCTACAAATAAAGAACAAATTGACCTACTGTGCGCCGTGCCTTGTCTGTTCAATCCTAAAAGTTCACAATATTCACAGCAATGTTGAATATCCAAGCTGAATTCCATCCAGCATCCAAGACAAAAAATATTTGTGTTGTTTTAGATCTTTTCCTGCCAGGATAATTAAATTATGGCAAGACATATCTCTGGTACTAATTAAGAAGTACACAATATTGATTCTAATCTAAATATGGTGTGGCTTTTTAAAAAAAATGATTCTCATAATGACATTACAGCACTGTATTTTTAGGAATTACAACAAAATAATTTTTAAAACTTGTTATAAACGCATCCAAAGGAGGTAATAGCTCTCACTGCTATGCAAATGACCAAATTCATGGTAAATATCATAGTATCTACTGCAGACTCCTGAGAACAAATATTAGGGTGTTTTTAAATGCAGAAGGATAAAAGTGGTTAGTGTAGTCAGGAGTCTCTGGGTGTTGGATGGCATATATAGTTTCTAAATTATTATTAATATTAATATTAAATCCAAGAGGTAATTTTCAATTATGCAATTTTTAAATCAGGATCATGGGTGTCAGATAAAAACACATCTATTATTGGTTCATCATAATGTTCCTAATTTAATAAAACTGATGGTTAACTAAGACAAATTTAAAAAGAAACAATGTCTTTAGAAAACTAGCAGCTTTGGCAGCTTTTTTAAAAAAGCCAGGTATTTATTTATCTTTTCGCTTCAGAAAACCACAAAAAATAACTACAATGCTGTGAATAATCTTGAAACTTCAAAGCCTACATGCCCAATGTAATGTTTTAAGGTGATTAAACTACAGAGCTACTATAGTGAAAGTCAATAATTACCCAGGCTCTTTAAGACCAATGCCAAACATTTTGCTTATGATTAACAATAACAAACCCCTCTTCACAAATGGAATCCTTTTTTTCAACTTCAGTAGCTATTTGTTAGCACCCTGAGCTACAACTGAGCATTACTGTCCCCCAAAGAAGAGGACGATAGTGCTCTCTGCATGCTTCAGCAACAAATTTGGCTTACACGTTATAGTTTACATTGGATTCAAGAAAGAGAAACTATAGGAAGCGAATCTATTTACCAGTATGTTGCCTTCTCATAGAGAAAGTTCCAGAACTGAATAGATCTTTCTTTCTCCCATAATCCTTGCGTTAACTCCTGAGTTGCTGCAAATGTTTCTAAACATCTAACCAGCCAGAGCTGGTGGGAACTGGAGTCCAAATTATCTAACAAGGTTAGTTTGCCTCCCTTTGAGCTCAATAGATTGCCACACAAATTCCTTTCATTTTCTACCCATGGAAACCTCAGTTGAACCAAGAACCTTTTCTAACTGAAAGTAAACCATTAAATATGACCCTATATAAAGTTGCAAGAGAAAATTTAGGCCACCTAGAGCAAGACCTTTGCTCAGTGCTGCTTTCTTAATACATAATTTAGTTGTGATGCGATGACCTATACAGTATATCACAGAAGTTGCCAGCAGTTTAGACATTAATGGCTGTGTGTTACGTTATTTTGAAAGGACAGCACATTTACACGGTTTTACAAGCTGTATACTCACTACTTGGCATTGTAGCCAAGCATCATTTATTCAGTGTTGTCTCATTAAAAGATATACTTAAATATTTACAAAATGTGAAGGAGTGTACTCACTTCTGTGATATACTGTAAGTAGGTGAAGGTAGTCAGCTCTTAGGTTATAGTTCAAAATCTCAAAATAAGAAGAACCAGATAATAGCAGTGAGCTGCATTTGGAACAAGAGAAAGAATAACAGGAAGAATCTGCATAAAATGACTAAAAAAACCACACCCTGCTTCTGGGTGGTAAGAAAAGGGATTTGACATTGCTGAAAGTGAGGAAAGATAGCAACAATCCTAAAAATGGTCCCTAGGATATGCAGAAAAATTAAACTACTGCCATGCATTCTTCCCTGACCTATCTTGTCATGCCCAACCTAAGAACAACACAGAACAATCCAGCCAAAATGTAGTTCTTTATTTGCTTTCACCCTATAGACAGACTATTGCTAGACTAAACCTATACCCATGATGGCAAACTTATGGCACGCATGCCACAAGTGGCATGCAAAGTCATTTGTTAGGACACATGAGGTGTTGCCCTGTCAGCTCCAGAGCGCATGCATGCACTGTCCAGCTGACTTCAACCTTCTTTTTCGACCATTTTTCACCTTCTGGAGGCTTCCCTGAAGCCTCCGGAGGGTGAAAAATCCAACCCACAAACTGGAGGTTCGGAAACAGACTGCTGGTTTGTGCATTGGGCTGTTTGTCGCGATCTGGAGGCTTCAGGGAAACCTCCCAAAGGCTCCAGAAGGCAAAAAACAGCCCTATGGGCAACCCAGAAGTCCGTTTCTGAAATTCAAGGTTGCCCATAGGGCCTATTTTTGCCCTGAAGCCTCCGGGGCGCCGAGGGGGCTGTTTTTGCCTTCCCTGGGCCCCTAGAAAGCCTCTGGAGCCTGGGGAGGGTGTAAAACCAGTCCATCACACAAAAATATAGGGGAGGTGGGGGTCACACACACATGCGCATGGGAGGGGATCGTGAATGCATGGGGTCGCACATATATCATTGTGGGTGCGGGCATGCCTGCGCACAAGCCCCCCTGCATTCCCCCCGCTTTTGCCACGTGATGGGGAAAAGGTTAGCCACCACTGACCTATACCATAACAACTAGACACAAAGACAGTTTTCCCCCAAATGCCATCAATCTGCTAAACAACTAATTCCCACAACACTGTCAACCTATTTACTAAGACTGTATTACTGTTCTTCTTCTCATCCTTTCTATTACCTTTCTCCTCCCACTTATGAGCGCAGTGATTAGAATACAGAACTGCAGGCTATTTTTGCTGATCACTAGCTGCCAGCAGTTTGGCAGATCGAATCTCACCAGACTCAAGATTGACGGAGCCTTCCATCCTTCCGAAGTGGGTAAAAAGGGGAGCCATATTGTTGGGGGCAATAGACTGACTCTGTAAACCGCTTAGAGAGGGCTGTAAAGCACTGTGAAGCTGTGCATAAGTTTAAGTGCTATTGCTATGACTATAACTTTGTTGCTTGTATCTCTACAATTTATATTGTTTTATTTGTTTCTTAGTATGATTTGATTGCTTATTTAACCTAGGACTATCACTAAGTGTTGTATCTTATGTTTCTTGATGAATATTTTTTATTTTATTTTATGTACACTAAGAGCATATATACCAAAGACAAATTCTTTGTGTATCCAGTCACACTTGGCCAATAAAGAATTCTATTCTATTCTATTCTATTCTATTCTATTCTATTCTATTCTTTCTATTCTATCCCAACAGATGTACCCTGGGAAATTCTGGAAAATGGCAATGCTAAATCTTTTCCTCAGACTTCAATTCAGTTCTCGGCTGTGTTGTCTTTTGTCTCATCCCCCCTCCTTGGAATACGCTTCCTGGGAATGTGCCACTTCATGGTAGTCCATCATGCCACCTCCTCCTTCAGAGACACAATTCAACACACATACACTCTACAGTGTATAGTTACATTAAACTTTGGCTACCCAAATTCTCTCTGCTTCCAGTAGATCTTTTAGCAAGGTGGCGCAGTGGTTAAATGCAGCACTGCAGGCTCCTGCTAGATCAGCAGGTCAGCGGTTCAAATCTCACCGGCTCAGGGTTGACTCAGCCTTCCATCCTTCCGAGGTGGGTAAAATGAGGACCCAGATTGTTGGGGGCAATATGCTGACTCTCTGTAAACCGCTTAGAGAGGCCTGAAAGGCCTATGAAGCGGTATATAAGTCTACTGCTATAGCAGCTTTAATTGTTGCCATTTAGTTACTGGGCTAACTTCAAAGGGCTTGTTTTAACTTTTGAAGCTTTAAGTCCAAGGAGTTGTAAGGGGAGTTTCCAAGAATTTCATTGGTTTTGGCTGGCTCTGTTGGGAGTTTATAGACATGCCAAGAAATAAAGCATGTTCAAAACAAGAAGAAACCATGCCAAATATACAGTGAAGTCCATATGTATGGTCAAGGTAGATAGGCTATTAATAGCTATTATTAGCTATTAATGGTTGAAAGCAGTATTATACAAAAACAACTGAAGCTACAATCTTCCTCTATCACCTTATCAGGTACACTTGAAGCCTGATGAAGGCATCAGTTCCTTAGTTTTCTAATTATTATTGCACAACAATTATACTTATCTTTACTGTGATTTGCAATATGGATTCCGCTTTACAGACCATAACCCATTTTAATTACTATTGTTGATGTAAAAATGTGAAACAAATATCCTATGCTACTATATACCATCTTGTGGGGAAAGGCAGAAATAACACAGTAAAACCTAGTCCCACATTTACCAAACTTTGGTTTCAGTAGAAGAAAAAAATGATCCAGATATCTCCTTCAAATGATGGACAAGTCAATTGCATGCAAAAGAATTTTGATGTGGACGTTAAATTAGAATTAATTTCATATTAATGCTGTGATATCCACAATGATTTATGTAATTTACATCATGATGGAAATGATATCATTTATATAACAACATAGTAAACATTTGTCTGTATGTGGTAGTATGTTTAGAAATGTGGAACAATATGAATAGTTGTTTAAATATATTTTGCTAGCATTCTTACCTGGAACCCTTTTGGCCCAGTTGATCATATGAACCAGTTCTCGATCAGCAAGGTTGGTCAACAACGTCATCATTGAAGCTTCGTTGAAGGGTCTGTTAGGGTCATATTCTGAATAGACAATAGGAGGTTCTGCCTCTAGCAAAGCAGAAACCATCTGATCTGCAGAGAGGGAGAGGGCTGGACTGTTTTTTTTACTATGTTTGATCATTAGTGGGCTTGGCCAAAGATTTGGGCTCCTTGCCTCTGCTACTGTGCCTATGTTTCTGCTATCATGTTCTTCTCTTTGACGTTTGTGCTTCACTATTCGGCCACCTCTGCGATCTTTTCGAATTCCTGGAAGAAGATATAAATAAAAAATAATATTTTATTATCCACTGATTTCTCTAATGTGACAGTATTGAAACATAAATCTGGAAACTACGCAATGTTTATTTAAGCCATCTTCAGACATGAGACACCTTGTGGTTAACAACAGTCCATTCATAGCATCAAATCTTACAAACTATCAGCATCTTGATTATAGAATGCAACAAGCAGCATGCAGAAATAAAATATAGGGTAGTAACTTATATTTGAGCAAAAAGTATTTTATAGGAGAATTGTGGCACAACATTAAATGCAACATTGTAAAGCACTATGAGGAGCCTAATGCATTGCAGGAATAAAATGCCTTGGGCCAGTTCTGAAATAAATTATTTCATACCAGTTATTTATTTTCAGTACCTCCTAATATAGAGTCTACTCTAGATTTACAAAGAATTTATGGAATATCTGATCAAATCATATTCTTCTGCACAGAACATTAAACCGGTCAGCTAGGAATCAATATACAAATATACTTTCTGATTAATTTCCACACTGTAACATTTGGTTTTGAAGTAAGTCTTCTTTCAAATGAACAAAGCATACATTTGACAAGGAATAACTAGGAATTAGAGGACAGCCTTTAGGCCTACTTCCTAAATGGGAAAGAACACTGCAGACCCAGACTCTGAAAGAAAAGATTACATTATTATCTGAGAACTTTCTCACAAGTGAAAATTTGGTCTTGATTTCTTTCTTAAATGCTCAAACTAAAACAAAACATCATAAAACTTGTTTTATGATTCCTGGAGATTAGGCATAGAAGTTTTATTTAGGCTTGATATTGCTTAGTTTTCAAGCATTCCAAGCATTTGGCATTCTTTAAAAGTTTCACAAAAATGTGTTTTCTCCATGTTAACAAATGTGTATGAAAATTTGTAAAACTTTTAGAAAATATATTTGCAAGTAAACATATCCCCAAGATCAACAATGATTCAATTGTGCCAGTCATAGATAGAAAAGCTTATATTTACTTAAGATAGAGAAAGCAATTCTAAGCTGTATGTACATTATCTGGTTGAATCATGAAAGATATAAAGTTGTGAATATCAGCACATATAGAACAGAAAACTGATCAGAATGTTTATACCAGTATTATTTTTAATCTGGTGAACAGTTCATCTGGTGAAGATAACTTTTTAAACTTGTGGGAAATTGAAGATAAAGTGGAACACAGAGTTTTATGATTATTTTGATCAGAAGATTAGAAAAATATTGTGACAGATTCATCTTGAGGGAAAATAGCAATTCTAAGAACAATTTTGGCTTTTCTAGAAATAACCTAAAAGGATGCAGTGGCTATAATGCTGAGTTTGTCGATCAGAAAGGTCGCTGTTCTGTGGTTCAAATCCCTAGCGCTGTGTAATGGAGTGAACTCCCGTTACTTGTCCCAACTTCTGCCAACCTAGCAGTTCGAAACCATGTAAAAATGCAAGTAGAAAAATAGGGACCATTTGAGTGGGTGGGAAGGTAACAGCATTCCATGTGCCTTTTGTCATGCCAGCCATATGATCGCAGAGACATCTTCGGACAGTGCTGGCTCTTCGGCTTTGAAACGGAAATGAGCACCACTCCCTAGAGTCGGGAACAATCAGCGCATATGTGTGAGGGGAACCTTTACATTTTACCTTAGAAATAACTTAGAAAATATGAGTGCTGAGTTAAGAAGCTGTATGACAAGAAAAAATGAACAAGGATGAAACTTTCCCACTTTTCTGTTTTATTCAAATATGAAGATAAAGACTTTCTTGAATTGAGTTTGATTTCTAGTGATTACATAGATGGATCCATGTAGTTTTTTTTCAGCAATGATGCAGAAATAGACTGCAATTGCAACCTGTGGGAAGTTGTTTACGTTCCAGCTCTGGAATTTCTTTCTTAGGAATTTGGAAATAAATAAATGGAATTTATTTACTGCTCCATTCTGATAAGTCTACCAAAGGTGGTCTACCAGCAAACTACAAAGTAGATCTTGGTCCTGCTTAGATATCTGATGTCAATTCAGGTTGGCTATATGTTGTAATCTGCTACTAAGAAGAAATTCTAAAAAACTAGAGGTGTTGGGAATTGTCATGTTCTTTTAATCAATGGATCATTCATTCATTCATTCATTCATTCATTCATTCATTCATTCATTCATTCATTCAATCAATCATTCATTCATTCATTGCATTTGTATCTCCCTGCAATTCAAATAGATTATTGTCAATTAGAGCATCAAGGAAATATAGAGTCAGAACATGGGCCTGCATGGAAGAACTAGAAGAATTAATAGTGCAAGTAGTCTTTGATTTACAACCACAGTTAGGACTAGAAAAATTGTTACTTGACAGAAGAACATGGAAAATCATTTTCTATCTAGCAAAAATAATACTTTCTCTGAAAGAATTCAGAGCAACAGATGTCTAAGAAAATGTGGAATAAAGAAATTAAAGAAGTTAAGTTCATTACATTCTTAGTTTAAACTTTGAAACACAAACCGACACTGCTTTTAAAACACATTTTTATATCATCATTCAAATGATGCAGATGTCCACAATTTTAAGGTGCTCCTTAAAGAAAGTAATTTATAAACTACATGTTTTATAAATAGTTATTCTAACATGATATTTTTTTTAAAGATAAACTTTTCCTTGAGGTTAATTCTTAATGTCTTCTTTACATTTTTAAAAATAGCAGTGAAGAAGCAGATTACTTCCAGTCTATGTTTATTTTACTTTTCCATCAGTATTCCCTGATAGTATTTCATACAAGCACTAACCCAGCCTAACTTTGCTTAATTTCTCTCCTTACATAAAGTCAGTTGTTAGCTTCTTCCTGTTGAGAAGAGCTAGGCATGAAATATAAATGCATGGATAGCATACACATGGAAAATTATTTCAGATTTTGATTTCAAACAAAACACTGCCACTGAGTTCATTCAAAATAATCAAACCATCAGGCAAATTACAGATGTCTGCATGGGCCCTGAGCCATTAAACTGGATGCTCAATATCATTATCAAATGCCTACAATTGATGATTTTCTGTTTCAATTCTTCAGAACTTGATGCCAACAGTGGCTTCTAAAAAACTGATTACTTTTTTGACACTTTGGGTTGCTACATCGATTCTCATCTGAAATAATCAGAGAAAACTGTTTCAGGGGAAAGGCCTTTTCTGCCATTGCATTTGCCCTCTGGAACATCTTTAGCCATGGCGGCGCAGTAGTTAGAATGGAATGATGGGCTGGCTACTTTATAAAGCAAGATCATGGCACACACTTGAAAGTAAATTAGGAAGACTGTAATTGTGGCATCTATCTGGCATAGTGACACGCAATCAGGTGAGGCAAGTGAGAAAAAGCCTCACCTCTCATCATGAAAAAAAAAATTTAAAAAGAAAAAATAAATTAAATGCTTGTATTTATCTACTGATCTGTACCATAAAGTTATTTTCCATTTAACTTCACCATTTTACATTATTTGGCATTAAAATTGGAGAATTTTCACATTTACTGTTCAACTAGTCAGGTAAGAGCTTAACTGTTTTAAAAAGCCTCTAAAAAAGGCTTTTTAGACATTTTATTATCGCTCAGCATGAGCAGAGTTAAGCAGAGGCTTAAAAGCCTTAAAAGTCAGACTAGGTGAGACATGTAGTTCTCCTGCCTCATAGTAGAGGGCGCTTTTTAAAGGCTTTTTAAAATAATTAAGCAGAGTCATCCATGGTGAGGCAGCAGCTCGCTCAGCCTCACCTCAGCTCTCGCCTGAGAGGCTGATTTACATGATCTGTAATGAGACCATATTGCTGTCTCTCTGTATGTTGCTTTTAATAGTTTAGCTGATGTATATAATATAAAATGGAATGTTTTTTTGTCAACAACTATGTGTGGAACGTGTTTCTTGTGCTGAGGATCATAAAACGCCTAAAACGTCAGACTAGGTGAGGCACACAGTTCTCCTGCCTCATAGTAGAGGGCGCTCATTCCGCTTCTGGACATCTATTGTAGTCATGAGAAGCGTGCAAAATCCAGCAGAGGCAGGAAGTTTCTCGGTGCTCCCAAGTCGCTTTTGCGGCTTCCCAGAGTTCTGAGAACCTTCCTGTCTCCGCTGGACTTGGCACTCTTCTCCACACATCCTGGCGAGCAAGGGAGGGAGGATCAGGTTGCCTGATCCTCGCTCGCTCACTCACTCACCTGCCAGGCTGCCTCACCATGGCTCTGGCTACCTCTGTCCTTCCACGCCCAGCAGCTGTGGCAACGTCATCAAGACGAAGTCCAGAAGCACCAAGAATCTTTCTGCCTCCACTGGACTTTGTCTTGATGATGTCACCGCAGCTGCCAGGCACCGACGGATGGAGGTAGCCAGAGCGGCGCCAAGGCAGTCTGGTGGGTGAGTGAGCGAGGATAAGGCTGCCTGATCCTCCATCACTCACTCACTCTTTCGTCTGCCCAGACCGCCTCGGCACTGCTCTGGCTACCTCCATCCGGCTGTGCCCGGCAGCTGCAGTGACATCATCAAGACAAAGTGGCTTGGAGGCGAAGGGGCCTCGGTGCTCTGCCTAAGGGTGGCGGGGCCCTCTCACTGCCGAGCTCTTCCTTCTCGCTCTTCATCTTGATGATGTCATCGCAGCTGCCGGGCGCGGATGGACAGAGGTAGCCAGAGAGGCCCCGAGGCGGTCTGGGCAGGGGAAAGAGTGAGTGACCAATGGTTCCACGAGCCAGATCTAAGCACCCCATGGGCTGGATCCGGCCCATGGGCCTTGAGTTTGACACTCCTGATCTACATCTCATAACAGAGGGTAAGGTGAAGAAACTGACTTGTGTGTCTCACCAGCCATAAACCTCACCATATATCACTGGTCTGGCAAGAACAAAGAATGCTGATCCATAGGAAATATGCATGTGTAAAGCTTGTAGCAATTATGGGTAGTTAGAAAGCTGACATTTTTGCCAGGGGGCCTTTTCCTTGGAATACCTCAATAAAAAGCAATC